CCTGCCTGCCTTCCTTCCTTCCTTCCTTCCTTCCTTCCTTCCTTCCTTCCTTCCTTCCTTCCTTCCTTCCTTCCTTCCTTCCTTCCTTCCTTCCTTCCTTCCTTCCTTCCTTCCTTCCTTCCTTCCTTCCTTCCTTCCTTCCTTCCTTCCTTCCTTCCTTCCTTCCTTCCTTCCTTCCTTCCTTCCTTCCTTCCTTCCTTCCTTCCTTCCTTCCTTCCTTCCTTCCTTCCTTCCTTCCTTCCTTCCTTCCTTCCTTCCTTCCTTCCTTCCTTCCTTCCTTCCTTCCTTCCTTCCTTCCTTCCTTCCTTCCTTCCTTCCTTCCTTCCTTCCTTCCTTCCTTCCTTCCTTCCTTCCTTCCTTCCTTCCTTCCTTCCTTCCTTCCTTCCTTCCTTCCTTCCTTCCTTCCTTCCTTCCTTCCTTCCTTCCTTCCTTCCTTCCTTCCTTCCTTCCTTCCTTCCTTCCTTCCTTCCTTCCTTCCTTCCTTCCTTCCTTCCTTCCTTCCTTCCTTCCTTCCTTCCTTCCTTCCTTCCTTCCTTCCTTCCTTCCTTCCTTCCTTCCTTCCTTCCTTCCTTCCTTCCTTCCTTCCTTCCTTCCTTCCTTCCTTCCTTCCTTCCTTCCTTCCTTCCTTCCTTCCTTCCTTCCTTCCTTCCTTCCTTCCTTCCTTCCTTCCTTCCTTCCTTCCTTCCTTCCTTCCTTCCTTCCTTCCTTCCTTCCTTCCTTCCTTCCTTCCTTCCTTCCTTCCTTCCTTCCTTCCTTCCTTCCTTCCTTCCTTCCTTCCTTCCTTCCTTCCTTCCTTCCTTCCTTCCTTCCTTCCTTCCTTCCTTCCTTCCTTCCTTCCTTCCTTCCTTCCTTCCTTCCTTCCTTCCTTCCTTCCTTCCTTCCTTCCTTCCTTCCTTCCCTCCCTCCTTCCTTCCTTCCTTCCTTCCTTCCTTCCTTCCTTCCTTCCTTCAGTACAGAGCTGTGCCACAGGTACAGAGCACTTCTAAGCTCTGCATGGAGGGTCAAAATTATCCCATTGCCTCTAAGATAAATGTATATACTTTGTGACAGGAGTCCCTTTTCATTATTAACTTTAATTAATTAGTTTAAAGAACTATGGCCTTACTTTGTGTGGGGCTTGCAGGTGTCAGTGCTGGAGTTTCGATCAGAGAAGGTCCCAGAAGGGCACTCTTCACAGGTAACGTCATTTGTTGAGGTGCCTGAATAAAAATAATGACTGAGGACCAACCAAACAACATGCATCATGTCCAGGCCTATGGCCTCCATCAGGAAAGGCCAGCTAGGCAGGTAGGAATTCCCACCTCTGACTTTGACTCCAAAACCAGGTTTGCAAACAGTGTGCTGCTGGCATCGTATGCAGGTGTTCACAACAGGGGTCTGACAGAACAGGCCTGGCCGGCACTCACACACACGGCTGGAATTGAAGGAGCAGGGCTCCTTCTCCACAAGGTCGGATTCTGCGGGGAAGAAACAGATGTAACAAAGGATCACCCTGCAAGGAAAACGCAAAGCAGGGGCCAGAGCTGAGCAACATCAGCTCAAAGGCTCAGGAAACAGAACAAGCTGCTGGCACACTTCACGATGGCAACTTAAGTCATGAGTAATTGGAGAAGCCTGTGGACAGTGGCTTGTAAATACAAGACAGAAAGCAGAAAGACTTGGGCAGCACTGGATGAGAGAAGTTTTTGGTAGTCCCAGGTCACACAGGAAGTGATACTAATTATGTGCAAGGTAGCATTCTGTTCTCTAAATCAGTAACCAAGGATGGACAATTTTGCTGCTGGAAATTCTAAATGAATAAAATATAAATGAAGCGTAAAGAGAGAATATGACTGAGAGGTAAGTGTGAGGGAAAGCAAACCTTTTGCACATGATACACAAGCATCACACTGTGGCTTTTGGAATGCTTCATTCACATATTGTTCAGGTCCACATCTCATGCAGTCTTCCTCTGGGTCCCTAGGACATGCTTTCCTTTTAACATAGCCTGGAGAAAGAAACACAAAATATGCAGATACCTGTCTCACAGGAGACAACCATCCTGAAGTGTTCTTGTATGCTCTTTTAACTGTCAGACACGCTACCACAGTCTTCTCTTTGTACCTGTCATTTGTGTCTCTAGCAAAAATTCTTGTCTTTCCCTTTGAAGTGTGAAGGGATCACGGCTGTCCTGTTGCAACGACGCCGTGCATGGCATCACAGATGGTTGGGACTGCTGCACAATGGGCATTTGCTGACAGTTAGAAAAGACTGCCAAGTCTGCAGAGAGGGAAATATTGTCTTGACATTACTCACAGGCAATTGTTTTTCATGTTTTCTTCTTGACTATAGCAACTGAATCTTGGTATTTTGTTACCTAAGGCATCGCTTTTCCTTTCAAAAGCTGCCAGAATCACCTAGGTGTGCATGGATTCCTGCAGGGATGACCCCATCTCCCATGTTCACAACGGGAGTTACGAGATGTACTTCTTGAGCTGTGCCCAGTACACCCCTAGCAGGTTTGCAGTAGGGTGCTTTCTGAGCAGTCCTGCTAGTTTTACAGTTGTCTTGTTAGTTATGGTTTAATAGTTTAATTTTTCAAATGTTTTCCTTCAAACAAATCAGATTACACATGTATGTCTTTCCGATGCTGGATGTATATGCAATACACTTTCTCTGCTCAACACTTCCAACTGCCCTGGACTCCGTGCTCCCAGTTTGCAAGCACACTACCCTGGACCTCACAGACCTTCTGTGTGTATGCATCATGCATGAAGTTGAGCAGCTGGCTGAATTAGAAGACTTCTACAGGTCTTTGCCAAATTTAAGCTATTCCCTAACTCTATATTTATGTCTGGTAATCATTTTCTAGTGACTAGTTTTTAAAAGCATCCATCTGGTAAGTCAGGTAACAATAACCAGCTAGGAGTATGGGAAAGGGGGGGACAGAAGCATTCCTAATGTTCCAGCTCCTGAAGCAAGGGATGAGGTATTCTACCACTGGCCATAGTGCCAAAGATATTAGAAGGCACAGTGGTCAGCTGTGACCTTGTGGCCTTGACAAAAGGTGGAAATAACTACCAGAAAGCAGTTGCAGAAGCAAAAGGAAAAGCTAAAGCAGCAACATAAAGATCACAAGAGTTGCATGTTTCACAGATGGAAAATAGGAGAGAAACTAATCCCAGTTTCAGCATCCAGCCTGCACCACCCAGTCACAAAGAATTAATCACAGGGAGGGGGAACCTGCCAGGGAAAGAACTCACCTACTATGCATTTTGGCAAGCATGATGTAGGAGTGCAGGTACAAACAGCTGTGCTATATTTGGCCCACTAAATACCATCAGACAAGCCTAAACCACATCGCACCCACCTCCTTAAAACCACTCATCGGAGACTATTCTTTCCAAGGTGAGGGCTGACTGATGAATCTCAGCACTCAGGCTACACACACGTGTACCTGCACATGTGTGTCATTTTGCCCTTCCTCCCCCAAGGACCCAAAAGCTTTAACTTCAGTTATTTGAGATTTCCTGTACACACGGGTCCCTCCCTTGGGGGATGTGTGCCCCAGGTGCAGTAGCTTTGAAGCTTGCTTAACAGTGTCTTCTGGTGCTGCTCTCCACCGATTGTGTTCGTAGCTCAACAACCAGATAAAAGCCTGAGCAGCAGGAATACCCGCTGCAAACACCTGTACAGAAAAATGTGCTGAAAGTAAGTAGATTAAATAAGTGGTTTAAGGGTTTTATTTTGTATGTGGATTCATTCACTCCTGAGGATTTGCTGTTAATTGTGCGTGGAAAATTACCTTGAGCATTGACTGCAGCACTATCCTGCTAGAGCTGGATATCTGATTTAGTCTAAAGCAAAACCAAACAAGAAAAAAAAAATCCAAACAAAAAAACACCCAAAAAAAGAACGTAAAAACCTAAACAGAATAAACAAAAAGGAAGCAGAATACCAACTTCTGCATAACATGAGCTGTTCTAGCATTATTTTCCATGAAACTTTCTTTCTCCCCTTGACAGGAGGGAAATATTTTGTTCTGTGATGACAGAAAAAAAATATTCTTCTAGTACCCCAGGTATGAAGTCTCATTTTACCTGCACAAGAATTAAGTGCATGAGAAGAGATGGGGCAACTGTAGAAACTGATAGAATGATCTTTTGAGGTTTGGTTCGAAGTCTATCTTGAAATTGAACTTGAAAATAACTGAAAGAGAGGGTGACTTGCATGTGGGTCAGTGTGCTCAGACTGAAAGCTGTACATCTGTGGGCTGAAACGTTAAGGAATGTAAAGTCAGTCTGCATCAAGGGTTCGAGATGCTCCACTTTGATAAGTAGAATTTTAGAAAAGCTTCTCTTTCTTTGCAGTGAGCAGTTGAGTTAGTAGCAGATATGAACAGGTTATCGCTTGAAGGAGTAGTGGAAGATTAAAATGAAAAAGGATTCTTACAAAGGAGCTCCTGGAGGATGTGAAGAGATGTCTAAGACTGACACGAGGATGTGGCCACAAAATGAGTTTCAGAAATAAGCAGAGGTGAAATGATCGAAGCTGGTGGCTCACTGCAGCCAGGTGTAAATCAGATCTTTGCTTCTCACAAGACCTCACTATGACATCTGTCATTATGGGAGCTTTTGCAGAGTGTGGTTTTGAAGGAGAGAACAACTTTTCTTGGGACTGTCTCAGAGTCAGATCCCCACCCCTTTTCTTTCACAGGGCCAGTTTCTCCATCCCTTGGTCTTGTTTACTCATACAACCTCTGAACGATTCTAGTGGTGTGGCCAGCAGTACAAGATGTCCCAACAGGAACCCTGATGTAACTACACGCAAACTCCAGCAATCAAGTGCTAAACTCCTCTTTATTATTAGAGCACAAATAAATGTCAAAAATTTCCTTTCAAAAAGAAAAAAAAAAAAAAAGAAAACATTTCTATAAGAAGAGATTGATGACGGTGAAGTACCACGAAATGCCCCACCTACCACGGGGCTTTTTGGCCAACAGGGGGAGTTTGAGACATTTCCAGAAGTCTTGTCTCACCAAGATGTTTCCTGCTTCTGACCTCAAGTGCCTCTGAGTCACAACTAGCTTTGTGCAAAGCCCACTGTGTCCCCTGACAAGGGGCTGTTCCCTTCCTCATGTGAGACGCTTTCTAAACTCTTCTGACGATGAGGATAATGACAGATTTTCCACACCTTCATTTTATATTTTTTCTCTCTGATCAGAAACTTATTTAGCCTAATTTCACTGTGCTATTTCACACCCCGAGGCAAGTTGAAATGAATTCTTAGACCTGCCTACTTGCTACTTCAAAGTGTCAAGTAAACTGATAAAAAACACATTAAAAAGTTTAGCGGGTTATCTTGTTTGTAAGTTACAGATTGTTCGCATGCTGACTGAACAGAGGCAGGGCAGTGGGGAACAAGTTCACATCTGGATCCACACTAGACAGGGATTCGTGAAATTGCACTTTCTCCAGGGACAAAAGGCAATTCTGCAGGTATACATGGTTCCCACCTATCTCTGCGAGAAAGGCTCCGTGTTAATTTGACTGAATTATAAACATACTGACCTGGGGGACACTGGTAACAGCAGCTTCGTGACGCTTCATCATAAAACCAGTTCTCAAGAGTATCACAGAATTGAGATGGGGTTAATGATGTCTAGAAATCGAAACAGAAAAAAGACACAATTAGAAAACAGTTAGTTCTGCATTAGAGCAGATCCCGGTATCTGTCTCAAGCGGTGGTAGGTGCAGATGGTAAGGAAAAGCCTACGGCTTTTGGAAAGTTCAAGTATCCTCAAGCAACTAAACAACTGTTGCCCATATGCTTAAGCAAAGATTGCAATAATCAGTGTATTTAGCAAAAATTCAGTATATATCTTCACTCAGCAGGCTCTTTTATCTGAAAATCATTTAAACCTAGGAATGGAAGACCATAGCCCAACCAAGTATCAAGTGTTTCAGTGCTCAGAAACGCCTCGTTTCATACAATAAAAAGGGTAGTGGCATTGACCTACAAAAATGTTTTTCGGCCAATGCTCCAAACACCCTTTGAAATCTAGCTGCAGGATCAGTAAGAAATTAGTTCCTATCTCTTTTAGAAATCTTGTAGCAGTTAGCAAGTAAAATCAAAAGGCTAAAAATAACTGTCTGAAATGATGCCATGTTAATTTGAGATAAGGATTTTTTTAGAAAATAAAATAAAAATCCCTAGCATCTGTAACAGATTTCCAGCTCTATGTGCACTGGACTAAGAGGGTTTCATAGACAGCATCATCTAAATCTAGCTAGATTGGCTGTAACCCACAAAAATAATTCTTGTTTGCAGCAAATAAGTTATTTATGCAGTCATAATGCTTGAATTTAGTGACCTAAAATTGTATTTATTAAAAACCAATAAATTGGTTTACTTATCAGCAACAAATCCTACACTGACAGCGAGAGGTTTTTGCCTTGAAAAAAATACTATAAATATTCCTACAAGGAAGCCCCTATTCAAATAACTAATCCCACTTCAGTTGTGAGTGAAGGTTTTCAGGAGCAACCTTTGGTTTGACTAGATAACTGATACTTGTTTAGTTAAAAAAGCCCCACACAATAGTTCTAATATTAGCTCAAAAACCTGAGACTCAGCTGTGAACTGCATCAAGAAGCATATAATAAGACTTCATTTTCATATGGCAGGGCCACTGCATGCTCTGGGAAATTACACTGTTACAAGTTTTCTGATGAGAAAATGTAATTTTAAAAATTTGGCATCTCCCTTAATAATCCCCTAAAAATATTGTTATCTGAATTTCATTTTCAGTATTTGCTAGAAGGTATAAATGGCAATTTTTTTGTTAAGACTCAGTCAGTAGATTCCCCAGAGATTTTCCCACACGATACTGGTGGAGCAGTTAAACATTTCAGAAAGCTTACATCTCACTTTCCGCAGCTGAATTTCCCATCAGCCTTCGAAATAACACCTACCGTCTCCTACTGCCTTTGGATGCAGTGCAGAATCTCACTACCTAGTTCCCCGGCTGGATTCTCCTGTTCAATGCACTGTTCTTTTCACCACAGGAGCATAAAACACAGAAGTTATTTAACTTGCCCCAGGTTACATCAGAAAACGGGAACTTTCAGTCCAGGAGGAAATTAACAAAAGGACAAGAAATAGAAACATATTGAAAGCATTAAATTTCATCAAGCTCCAGTAATAGAACTGAGAAATTCTGCCTGACACATTTCTGCACTAACCACTGGGCTACACAACCTCCCTATGGAGCATTTTTTTCTAGTTTACTCTGCAGACGAAATAGCAGATGTGTGCTTGCTCAGCCTGACTCAAATCAGAGTTACGAATGCGCACCCTGTATTTTTCTTTTCTGAACAGGAAGCCCCAGACTGTAGGAAAAGGAAGTGGAATCTCCTTGCATCTGTGTGGAGATGCACCCCAGTTAGCCAGACACTGAGACTAAACTGAATAACAGGAAATGACACGAGACCAGTCACCGGGCAAAGGGTCATTCAGGAGTCACTTCAGTCATATGAAGAGAATTAACTAGTTTTATAAAGAAAATTTAAGAAACAACGGCATCCTGTCTGTAGCTAAGTAACCAAAAATCCACAAAAACTGGGTTAGTTTCTCCGTAAGAGCTATGGGAAGTCACCACAAAGCCTGGTCTTGTCTTCCTGGTTCTCCTGGGCAACCAACTCCGGCCGCAAATGATGTTGAATTTGCAGCTGGGATAGGAACAAAATTCTTGAATGATTTATGCAGTTTACAGACTAGTTAAATGTCCAGTTTCAGATTTGAATAAAGGAATAGTGTCTGTGTAAAAGTGTGAGGGAAGGGCTGCTTTTTACCTTGTCTAAAATGCTGAAATCAGGAGTTTAAGATTAGATTCTGCTCTTAGTTACCACAGTGCAAATTCTGATTATGAATTTGACCTGATACTAGTGCTGTGATAAATTACTGCCTGAACTGTGCATGCACACTATACAAATTATGAAAATATACATACAAAAGAGAGTACTCGACCTTTTCTTTTTTTCCTTTCCACAAGAGGGCAGCTATATACTACAGCCACCTACGTAATACATGACACCCACATCTTCACCACAAACACTGCTTTCAAATACCTAGTTATGCACAGCTTCGTAGCCACCTTTACCGCTTACTGAGCTAAGCCCAAGGTGCTCTGATGTAAAAAGAAGTCATTTTAACAAGTCATGATGGATTTCTATGGCTGAGAAACCACCCCCTGAACACCCCACCACTTCTAATCAGTAGCTCTCTGCAAACTGTCTTTAAGAGTTGCCCTCTGCTCAGTAGAGGTGTTTCATGAGTATGAAACTTATTATAGATCCTTCTAGTGATAAATAATGTACACATCAATGCCCAGCATCAGTCATTATCTCCCCATTCTTGTCATTTTTTTCCCCTCTAAATCCTAATGATACCTAAGGTGACCTGTAACAGCAACACAATGATGCGAAGTTCTGCTCTTAAACTAAGCAGAAAGGCTGGCCCTTTGTAGGTAGCGTATTTTAAGGTATGGACCTGGGTATAAACCAAGCCCCCACACCTCTAGCACTTCAGGGTTAAAAGATCAAAATAAATTACATAAGCAAAATGTAATATTTTGTCTGTAATAAACATACTGGCAGTGTGGAAAGGCAAGTGTCACTAAAAATTGTATAGGCTCTGCTTCTAACTTTGCAAGGTGTTTTGTAAGCTAAATTTCAAGGTTTTTGGCATCTGGAATAAAAAAAAAATCTTGTACTAAGAACCCACCAAAACTTCCATAAATTCTTGAGGGATTGAAACAAATTGGTGCCTAAATGCAAAAAAGAACGTGCCTTGAAGAAATGGCAGAGGTGAAGGTCTCAAAATGTTTTAAGTCTTCCATTAAATTGTGGTGCAAACTCATCTTCTGCAGAGGTTTGATTAGGCCACTTCTGGGAAAAGGGCGAAGGGAAGTCAGTCATACAAGGATAACGGAATTTTCCTTTTTCTGTCTATGTGTAATGAATATCAGGGTAATAGATTAACTAAAACAAAAGACACCCAGACAAAGATATGGAGTGAAAAGGGAACAAACCCACGCATTATTAGTGGGCAGCAATAGGCCCGAACTGAGGTAATTTACCCACTCAGTGACTGACCATGTGAATTACCTGTTTCACCACCTGTAACTTCTCTTCCCACATGTAAAATACCGCCTCTGACATCTCATCTACAATTAGAGAAATTAAGGTGCAAGTTTGCAATAAAATATTGGCTTGTTTGATCTTTCATTTTGATGAGCTCAGTATTTCTAATTAGGAAGAGATCGCTGAAAACAATTCATCAAGAAACACTTTCTAGTCCCACTCCCTTCATGACTCAGCATTTATGGAAAGATACCTTATGGATTGTCTTGATTTGACGATCATCTTAAGTCTCTGTTGCAAGAAGACTCCAAGTAATATGAATATGTTTGGGGTTTTTGTTCCTCAGCTGTTATTTAGATTTCTGCTAAAAAGGAGTAGCCATCAGCCATCAAATCCTTTCCAATTTGGTGGTAGCACGAGGGAACCCCAGATAGGCTCTGTGAGGGCATGCAGGACATACTGTCACTCCAGTCCCACTGGGTCCTCAACTTTACATTCGCTTGCTTTTACCAAATCTCGTCCAAACTGTTCCCAGTGGTGCTGTAAACGTTTCTTCTCCTGCCAACACTTGCAGCTCAATTGCTAAGGGAAGGACGACTGCTACCAGGACAGGGCAGTTTGCTACAGCAGAACTTAGAGTTTACATTCTCTCTAGCTTTTCCAGTGAAATATAAAAGCATCTTCCCACTCAAAAACTTGGACAAGCAGTTTGCTCAGGACATCGCATGCTATTTGTAATCAAAACAGAGAAGGGAAAAGCTAGTTGTCTTCTAACACTGTGGCTACAGAGGAATCTGATGAGAGCACAGAATGATTCTGTTTAGATGAGGGAAATTCTGAGGAAAATTCCCATCAACAGTAGCAGCATTGATCTCCCCAGCACAGAAACACACTGTTCTGAGCTGCGTAGACCTGTTTTGAGCTGCCTTACCAACGGCTGCAACTGTGGAAGCCAGCCTGCTATGTCCTGGGCTTCCGGCATTGCGTCTGAGAAGGTGGTAGCCAACAGTGGAAGTTTCAAAGCAAATGTCCCTCCTGTCAAGCCTTAAGCAGAAAAAGGATCATAAGAAGAGAAGGAATCACAAGGGCAGTGAGAGGGAAAAGGAAATATTAATGTAAAAAGGGATACTCTATCGTATGATGGCTCAAGAATACAACATATGGGTTCTTACTGCTTGCATTGCCAACAAAAATCCTCAGCATTAAGACATTTCTAATGTATTTCTGGTACTGAGTGCTTGGACAAATCCAAGCATTATAAAATACTAAATAAGACACATGAGATTTAACTACAAAGTAGTGAAAGTCTTCTGCCTTGGACTTTTATCCCATTTGTTAGTATGAGCTTAAGTCAAAGAGTAATATTTTAAGACATTCTAGGATGACAGTGGAAATGTAACCCTGCCTCAAAAAAAAAAAAAAAAAAACACCAAAAAAAAAAAAACAAACCACCACAAAACCTTAATTACTTTGACTCAGGATTGTGTTAATATCAATAATAAAACTAATTTTTCCAGAGCAAAACCAGTTTATTTAAATTAAGACTTTTCGTTAGGCAGAAGCCGAAGGTTAAGGTTTGACTTAGCAGGTCCTACTTGCTCATAAATAGCTCTTGAAATGAAAGGAAATTAGAGCAAAAGAGACAGAAAAAAAAATTCAGCCTCACATTACAAAACCTCAACACTATCACCTTCTTACAAAAAAGCATTAGCTGTGAGTGTTGGGGTGGGGGGTCACCTTCTTCATTCCATAGTGCCTGTGTGTAGAGGCCCACAAAAAAAAAGGGCTAAGAAATTCTTCACTTACAGCCATTTCTCCTGGCTCCAGTATGCTTACACAAATTCTCAATTAGCCAGTGAGAGAAGATTCACTTCATCAGTTTTGTCCCTTTGTCCCTTACTACTTCTTTTTTTAGGGAAGGATTTGTGTGTAAGAACTTTCACTTCTGCCCCACTCCCTCCTCTTCTTCCTAGAATGCCTAGAAACACTGCAGGCTGTGGTATGATCCATACTCAGCAGCAGCTAGAATGTGGCTTTGCTTCATCAAGGAAATCACCAATAAGTTTTACAGAACAAACTCATCGTCTCTGCAAGGCACAGAATGAAACGGGGCAACCCCAAAATCCAGTTTCATTAACATTCAGAGTATTTTTCTCTTGCATCTTTTGATTGTCCCTCCTCCTTATCCAGTGTTGTCTGAATCTCAAGACAGACAGAAACAGAACTCAGGTTCTGCCAGGGAAATTAAAATTTCTAGTACAATTTCACGTTTTAAGGCATCTTTCCCGAGTATTTCCTGAAGGAGACGTACATTTCCCTGTCCCCTCTCCAAAAGATAATCCAGTCTCAATGAAGAAATACCAATTTTATGCCAATGACATACAGCCCATTAGTACTTAGAATTCTGTTCATTAATATGTATCATAAAAAACTTTAAAATTCAAGGAAGATCACAGAAGTATTGGTGAGTAGGGGTGAGGAATCCAGCTGTGGAGGACAGTAGGTCATTGTCTTTCTCTCTCTTTCTGAGGAAACTCTAAATGGATGGGGCTGCACTAAGAATGGATTAGCGCAGTGGGAATACGTGTCTCTTACAGCCGTGCTAATCCTGTGGCTCTTTGCCATCCAAGGGTGCAATCCCACTTCCCCTCTCTTGCCTGTACCCACATTTTCTTTCCTATCCAACTCCTTGATTATTTAAGACAGAGTAATTGTGTTTCCAGAGGATGACTCAGTTCTAGGAGTTCATTTGACTGAAAACTTTGCTTTCTGAATGTGTGAAGTGGGTTTTCAGGGGGTCAGTGCACTGAAACAACTCACCCTGTGGCTGGACAGTCCCTTGCACGAAATTCAGTGCAAGGAAGTTGGTGGGACTGCGTAGCCAGGAGCAGGGCCCCCGCTTTGTGGGACAGGTCTCTGCCGATGGGCACAGCTGTAACGGGAAACCTCACAGACGACATTTCTGCACCTGTATGCCTTATCAGAATTGAGTTGATCTGGACTGGGCATGAGACATGATGCAGAGTTAATACTGCTTTACGCCAGCCGTAGAGGAACAGATAAATATTGGAACTTTTTTTTTTTTTTTTTTTAAGCATTGGAGATCAAGGCCCAATTAAATAAAGCAAACACATTTGATACAAAGCATTGGGGTTTTTCAGTGCTTGCTTTTGAGAATTTGTTTTAGAAAATAGGCTTTTTGTAGCTCTTGTCACTTTCCGCACATTTGCTATTCCAATTTAAATAATTGCAATTATAAAGATATTGCTGAATTCAGTGGGCTACTCTGCAATTCAGTCAGTACAAGGTTTGACTCATTTAATTATGGTCTTTTGAGGTCTGAGAGAAAATGTGATGGTGAGGCAGAGTAAGAAATCAGCTTGCTACAGATGAGCTGTAAGTCAGGAAGAAACCATATTACGGTAAAAAAAAAAAATCTTCTACCAGCATGGGCTATTCTAGAACTGACTAATAGTGTAGCAAAACAGTTGACTCCCTTTCAAGCTTCTATCCAAATTCTGACAGTACAAATGAAGATGATAATCTAAGACTTCAAGTAGTCAAGCTTTATCTGCTTGATAATAAAGACAGTATTAACAAATGAGAGTTAATTGAATGTTAAAACAACCCCCAAACTGTGAACTCAAGTGAGGTGGAATATGGTTTAAGATATGACTGATAATTGTGACTTGCTCACACTAAACAATACCACTTGTACTCCAGTGGCAGGGAAAGCAAAGCTTGTTGTGATAGAGGCCATACAGAAAGACAGTGAAAAGCCAGTTGCTTGTCCCAGCAAGACCTACATATTTATTCCAGGTAACTGATGATTTTTCAGTGAGTCTGAATGTTGACAATGAGTATCCAAAACCCAAATTTTCTCTCTGCCCCTTTCATTCTGTGATCACCAAAAGTGATGTCAAATAGCAAAAATACCATCTTTTTTTTTTTTTTTTTCCTACTGCATTTCTCCTAAAGCAGTTTGAGTTCAGCAGACTGGGCAAGCTTACCTGAATGCCCTCCTAAGTATTCCTCAGGTGGGTAAGGACTACAGACTCCAGTCCTAGAGAAGAACAGTGATCTCTCTATGTTTCAGGAAGGAGACAGTGGCAGGACAGATAACCAGGACAAAAAGAGCAAACTCGCAATGTGGGAGGGGAATTTACAGCTGAAGACACAAGGGCAAACTCCTACTCGTGTACCAAAAGAGCCAGGAGGATCTTGTTCAAATATCTATGAAGAGGATGCAGGAGTTGGTTATTTTCAAAGATCTAATCAGAGTCAGTTACTTGTAAAAAATTTCCTGAGAGCCCAAGTGATGTGCTGTATCATTCAGTTGCAATATACAGACAGGTGTCTTAGGCCAATACATGCTCATATTTCTACTGCAAGGGAAAATGGCCAGTTTCAGGATCCAGCACAGCACGGTTATTCACCTACTTGAATTTACCTATGCAAAGAGCCTCTGCAAATGACCTTTTTTTTTTTTTTCTTTAATGTGCGTACATAAGTGTCAGCCAGGGAAATCACCTGGATTTATGCCAGGTGCTGAGGGCTGGTTGCCACGTGATCCACTAGAGAGAGGAGTAAGTGGCAGGGGAGGTGGGGAGCAAACCCACGAGAGGTGACACGATGTGAGCAGGGACCTAGCCTGCATCTACAGCATCAGCTGAGTGCAACTAGAGGGCTATGTCTATTTTAAGTCAACTTGATGCAGAATTAATAGCCCATTCATGAGCAAGTCAGTGTCAGAGGGGCGGGTGGTTATAAAGAGGAAGGTATTTTATTGTTTTGTTTGCCTTTACATCTTTCAGTTTTCCAGCCCTGACTCACTTGATCAGACTGAGCCCTCTGGACTCAGCTCCACAATGAGTACACCTGTCACAGAACACCTGGCCATCCAGGTGAAAAATCAAACCACCCAAACAAATGAGAACAGTTCCCCCCCACCCCCATCAAATCCTTCCTCATTCCCAGCTGGGATGTGCCTGGAGGTGCAGCAACACTAGCCATCAATAAAAAGATGCAGATTATAATTTGTATTCCCTGCCCCTACCTGCAAAGTTCCCAGAGAAGGCAAACTCTCCTGGCTGCTCTGCTTTATACCTTTATCTCCTGACAGTTCTGCTTTACACCTTTATTGCACTGTGCTGCACAAAGCCTCTTTCTGTGGACGCCCAGCACCCAGCACCCAGCCTGTGGGCAGGACAGCCCTGCAGCCCGGGTGCTCCCAGACCTCGCCAGCCTCCTGCGTCCTGAGGGGCTGCAGGATCCTGGGGCCACCTGCCTTACCTGTGGGGCTGTCTGGGTATCCTGGAGAAGCAGCAGCAGCCACAGTCCTTGTGCCAGGCTGCAGGCAGCCATCTGCAGCAGTGTTAAATCTCCCTCGCTCCCAGCATCGCAGGTTAGGACAGCCAGGTTGCTCCTCCTGGAGGCTGAGATCTGCCCAGGGTCCAGCCCAGTCTTGCTCCGTGTCTGTTCATTCAGTCCAGAGCCATTCCAGCTGTTCAAGACAAGCAGGAGACAGGCTTTGAGACTCCAGCAAGCTGAGAAAACAATTTAGAAGGAAGGGGCGGGAGGGGGTGGGGGGCTGTTCAAAAAAGAAAAGTAAAAAAGAACAAAACAAAACCACGTCAATCACTAGTCCTGGAGCCGTTGGGTTTCTGTGAGTCGGTCGCACGCATCAAGGTTGTCACCCGAAGTACACAGCTGGCTGTGCAGGAACCCAGGCTTCCGAGTCATCTAGGCTGCCCTCCGAGAGCACTTCGCTACCTCAAAGCCTCAGCCAGGCATGAGTCCAAGCCCTGCCCCGTCCATCTGCCACACTCTCAAGAGCTGCAACCAAGCCTCAAGAGAGTTCCCAGTAAGAAACACTCATTTTTTTTTCACCACAGTCATTTTACTCCTGTTTGAATGAGTGTATGAAAACTCACAACCAGGCAGGGTGACTTCACAAAGGTTTAGGCTTTACACATTAACATTTAAACACCAACAGACTATCCTCTTGAGAATCCTTCTCTTTCCTCCAATCCCACTTGAAATCAATTCCTGTTCTGACCATCATGCCTTGGACTGCTACTCATCGTATCACCCACTTTCATTTGTTACTCTGGGTTTTGGGTCTGGTGCCTGGAAAGATTTCAGTTGGTTTAAGGTGTCATGCTTTCTTATCTGCCCTAAAAGTTTTGTCAAAAGTAAAAGTTAGCCACTTCAAAAAAGGGCAGACTGCCTTGAAAACCTCTCTGAGGTGCCCAGGAAAGTAATGAGAATCTGAATTCTCACACCCATGGTTTTTTGCTTCTCACTCTTATCAGCAAAAAGAAAAACAGAAGAAATGAGAAAAGATTGTGAGTCAGATAATTGATTATTTTTATTAAAGACCCACAGATACAGCACTGCCAACATGACAGAGTATCAAAGGTGAGGGCATTCCACAGGGTCCCTGGGACGATGTAAATATCGTCTTTAACTCAACAGCTGTAACTCTTTTCTTTCTAACTAACTGTCCCCATCTTTTTCTCCAGAATGACATCGTATAAAAACCAGGCGTTTTCAGAACATTGCATACTGTGTGTTTGACAAGTAAATCTAACCTCCTTTCTTCACCCTGTCAGGTTACTTCTCACTTTCTAAGCTCTCTTAGCTGTAAGAAAGCCAATTGTGGTAGGTATGCCTTTAAGGTTTAGAGACAACTAAGTATCTGAATAGCCAAATATTCTTATTTTATCATTATTATTTATATTTTAATAAACACATTCTTGGTTTTCCTAATTGAATAATGGGCTAGAAAATGTCTTAATCTTGTGTAATAATATGCCATTAGGAAATTCTCCCAAACAATGAGGTTGAATTCATATGACATAGAAGTCAAGGCAATCAGTGATTCTATGTTTGATCTGGTTTGGTGGTTTGTTTTGGTTTGTTTTGTTGTTTTGGTTTTTTTTCTGATCAGCTCCTGTCTAAGCTTTTCTAGCAGGACACGAGACACAGCCTGGAAAGTTTTAGCCTCTGTAAGTTATACTGCTGGGGTCAGTGTATCTGATACAACAACTAAGCTTCTGAGTACAAAAAATTGTGTGTGAAAGACCTTTCCCGGGACTGGGAACACAGAAAGTTTTCTGGCCTGTTTTTTCCAGGGAAAAAAATAAGACCAAAATGAGCATACTGAGTATTTTGTATATATACATATGTCAGTTCCTTTTTAATCAATGGTGTCAATAATTTTTTAACCCACTGGATAACTTCAGTCAAATTTGGCTGAGAATACAACGCCATCAAGTTTTACAAAGTTTCATGGAAGGAGATGACTTGGATAAAGAGGAAAGATTCTAGTAACACCCTCACTGAGGGAAAGGCTGTGGTGGGAGACCACAATTCCTCAGAAGAAAGAATCCGTCTCACATGTCCGCAGTGAAATCAGGCTTCCCAGCTGCCACCCTTCTTAGAACTTCTTATTCTTAAATTAATTCTTAATTGAACGAGACATTTAAAAGGATGGGAAGTGGAAAGTGCTTATCGTTGCTGCTGGCTTTTTGGAAAGGCAATTACATCACACAATGCTGTCACACATCTGTAATAAAAACAAGAGCAATGAAAAGGATGAAGAGATTGTGTTTAATAGGAATGTTCTGCATGCATTTTTATCTGAACGCATTAATTTCAGACTTTGTGTGTTTTGATTTGAAATACAATGAAAGGGGCTTTCCAGAAGAAGCCCTTATCAGTAACTGGAAGAAGCATCTCCATTTTATAACAAACCCACGCTACTGTTCTCTAAATGTTGCTTATATTTCCTAGAAAATAATCCTCTATGTTAATATGGAAAAAAAAAAAAAGCAGAACAATAAAAGCAAACAAACAACCCCTTTTTCTCTGTTCTTCCATCAGAGGACAATGTCTACCAGAAAAAAAGGGGAAAGCCCCTGTGAGTATGCTATTATTATTTAGAATGTTTATTTGATTACATCTAACATCTGAATCTTCTTTTGTTTCAGGTGTTAAAGGTAGCAATGCCCAAAGATAAGGTTGCTTGGCATTTTCTATTCTAATTAATTTAGCTAATGCCGAGCTCAGCTAATGCTTTGATAATTCTTACACCAGGTACCTGATCTGTGCTGATCATCTGTGTGTGCAGCATGGAGCTGAGGTGGAGTGGAGCAGAGAAGGTTCTGTAAATCAGAGGTTATTCAAATGTCACTTGATACCTGGAGCAAAAGAATGCAAAGACTCAGCTAAGCCATGAGGGAGAATCTCCTTAACACATGCCCAAGACATTTCCTCAGCACTGTTCACTCATTGTGCTGCTAACAGCAACAGCCTCGGGAAAAAAGTAGTAATCGAATATAGTAGAAGTAGCATTGTTGCACACACACTCTAGCAAAAGGACTCATGACATTTTCTAATTTTAAGTGGCCTATTTGAGCGTCGTATTGCATTTTTAGCATGGGTATGTTCAGTTAATATATATCTGGTATTGGTGAAAAAAAACCCTGAGAAAAGCATCATCTCTAAACATCTGTCAAACAGATAAGGGAGACCATGAAATTTAAAAGGATACATATTAAAATAACCTTGTCTAAAATCTGAATTTCAGTGTCTGTCAGTGTCGCTATTTAGAGCATTGCAGTATGCTGATGAAAAATCACTAAACTCTTGCTACTTTGCTGGATGAAACACCAGACCCTTCACTAGGGTCTCAGTAAAGTAAAACTTCACTATGAGCCTCAGTAGTACCAAAGGCAGTGCTTCCTGGGATACATACTGTCAGGGGTAGAAATAGAAGGTGGAATTCTTAACAAATTAATAAAGAAAGAAAAATGAAGGCATTTACTGTAATAAAACCCAACAAATCTCATGGTTAAAGGAAGGAAAGCAAGCAGTCACCAAGAATTACTTTCTTGACACCTCTCTTGATCTATTTATTTATTTTAGCCATCAGAGAGCTCTTTTCCTGGGAATCTTGGAAAGTGACACTCTGGTAACAACACACAGGGAGAGCATTCGGGGTCCCAATGATTTTAGGCACTGTAAGTGAAGCCGATATACCGAACTTCTCTGGAAATCTTTCAGTAGCCCAAAATGGAGAGACAGGAGGGAGAGCAACACTGCTGCAATGTGATCTTGCTGAGAAACATCACATAAAGAGCCAGCAGTTGGGGATCGAACTACCTGTATCTGACAACGTATTTGAACTTGTCTGAATGTGAAAAAAGGAATAAAATCTCATTTATGCCAAGTATACCACAGATTGGCAAAATTCTGTCCCTCTACGTCACTCTGGTACTGTTACTTATTTTCTGGCACGTACGCTTCTCTTAGTATTAAATATTTGCCAAACCATTTAATTATGGCCCATCCATCAAACCACGCTGCAGTGTTAAATACAGCGCAGGTGCTCTTGATAACATATCTACAGAGCTATACTGATTTAGCAATTGACCTTGGTATATTTGCCACCGTGATCAACAAGGAAGATGGTATGAAGCTCTTGTTGCAACCTTGTTGAAACATAGCAATGGCTTAAATCAGGAGTTTCCAACAGGAAGAAAAACCTGCTTATAATGAGCGCGGGTCATAATGATATCCCAATACACAGGAGAAATCTCAGTCATTTCAGTAATTGTAGTTTCAGTAGATGGACATTCTCACAGGGTGTTTCTGTTCTCTAGCAAAAACTAATAGAAAAAGAGATCAGTTTCCTTGCTTTATATGAAGTTTCATGCATATGCAAACCAGCAATCTAAAATAAAAGAACATAGCTCTTGTTTGTTTGCAGTTCAGTACTTTTGACTCAACGACCTGTGCTCTTCCCGAGCACAGAAAATTTCTTGGCGATTCATGAACAACCAAAGGAAGGAAATGCATCCTGGTTTTTTTTTTTTTTTTTTTTTTTTTTTTTGGTAATTATAGTATATAACATCAAAAAGTACTTATGTGAAACAGACAACTCCTGACTGTGGGAAGCTCAGAAACGCTGTCAACAATAACTGGTTTTGTGGGAAGCTCAGAAATGTTGCCAACAGTAATTGTTTTTGCTGACCCTGAGCCACAGGATAGCTGTTGGAAGAGCTCTCCAGCTAGCAGAGAACCTAGGTGTACTGGGAAGACAAGAATCCTCTCAGCTGATGTCAGTCTCATCGCAAGAAGTCTTGCTTCAGTCGAGATCTATACTTCCCCCCACAAAGCCCAGTGACTCCATTCGTGTCCCCTAGTTTTCATTCCAGTTACTTCCATCCAAACATATCCCCAGGTTAAACAGTACAATATATGGCAGTGCTACACTCCGACCTTCCAGAAGCAGCAAAGTCACTCTTAGCATTGTTGTGCCTAAAAAGCTAAATTTTCTGGAAGTGTAACCATGCAGAGATCTGGATTCGGTGTTTATATGCAAAACAAGCTATGATGATGTGTCTGTCATTTTATTAACTTTATGATTGGGTTAAGTCAAATATAAGCAGCTAAAAATGTGTCAGACTGATCAAGTTAATAATAAGGACAACATGGCTTGATTTTCACTTAGATTTCTTTTACAGATGTCGTTTATATAAAGTTGATGTGGATAACAAAATCTTATAACTATTTTAGTTTTCTCAACTAATACTACTACTTTATATAGAGTGATAAAATAAGTAATGTAACAAAAAAAGCAACAGTAGAAAACGTCTTTCTCTAGTGCATAGTAGCTTCAAAACTAAAGTGCATTTTGAGTCAGACTGAAAAATGAGAAGAGCT